AACATTGCTGTGTTCCTGTTCGTGCTGTGATTTGCTACTTCCATGGACACCACCTGCTGAACTGGTGCTTGTATCAGCCCGCGACCAGTTATCCTCGACCCCAAAATTGCAAGCCGACAATTCAGTTGGTCCCAGTCTCGTCCGACGCTTCGGCTTGCTGTTTTATTGTTCTTACCACACCCGAGTTTTATTTTACAGGATCTCTCGAGGCTGGTCTAATGTTGATTGAGTCAATATTCTTCATCCAAGCAAAGTCCACTTTGCAAATATCCTTGTGGAACTGTCCATGCTGTTGTCAACGTAAAAGCCCTCTCACAACCGAGCACTTACAAACGTGAGTCCTACCGAGAGCTATCGCCACCGCGCGTCCCCTATCAGCACCACGTCCTTCCAGCAATCCAAGTGCTTCATTGAATAATCCAAGTGAACTTCACCACCACAGTCGGCCACAGCAATTCGCCGGTCCAAACTTGGAAAGCAAATATTCGAATTAGGTAAAAAGCTCATCTAATTTGACTTTAGAGTATATTGCTTCCTTATTTGAAATATTGCAATTTTATGCGAATCTTCAAGTAATATTATTGTATCCATGGAATTCCCGAGTATCCTTAAAGTCAGGAAATACATAACGTGTTATGGTTGACAATCCAATCTCCTGCTCGAGATATGATTCGTGATCGCACGGAAAATTGTCAATCCGATCTCCCGCCCGAGATACGATTTGTGATTGTGTGGAAAAATTGGCCAATCCGATTTCATGCCCGGGATATGATTTGTCAATCTATCGTTTCTAAATTTAAATGGATATCGGTAATATTTTGTGATATGGTGTCGTTTGATTGCTATTTCTTTCTATCTTTGTTTTGATTTGATTTGAATCTCCCAAAAAGATTTGATAGGATCAAGGTAAGTTTTTTTAAATAGATTGCATGCTTTTATAGGGTTTATCTAGTTAGGATAACATTCCGATTTAAATTAGTATTTGGCCTAGTTTAATTCCTAAAATGAATTGGATAATATCTTGCACTAGATAATAAATTTTCATTATTTTCTAATGCCGAATTTCATGAAAAAATACCCAAAATAAACATGTGCATGTCATATTAGAGTAGTTACATATTAATTAATTCTCGTCATTAGAAATTTCACGTCTAGGTTCATTTTCATGCCATATTAGAGATAGTGCATTTAATTGTTGTCAGAATTAGGACATTTAGGTAAATCGCATGTCGCATGTCATGTTAGACTAGTAGCATGCATTGCATATAGTTTAATTTTCACTAAATAAGAGAAAACTCCAAAAAATACATTGAATGGAATTGCGTGTTAATTAGAAATCATATTAGGATTGTCAATGTGATTTTCTAACTAACATTGCGGGTGCTTTCGTTACTTTGAGGTAAGTCCCTATCTTGCAGTTTATTTATTGCTTTGCATTATTGAGTGTTATATTATTGATTGCGCATCCGCATGATCACCTCGCATGTTAGTGGATAAGTTTAAATCAATCCAAGCTGCTTGCAAATATTTTTTTGAAATAAAAGAGAAAAGGTACCGAAAGGGCATTAGAGTAATCTAGTGTAATCAAGTCCCCAAATCCATAATCTCTGATTAGTAGGAGTAAAGTAATTCTCCCGATACTTTACTTGGGTTTCTAATCGACCCACTAAAAAATAGATTAGTGGCGACTCCTGATTGAAACGATTTGTATGTTAAGAACTTGAACCTTAAGTCGCGAATTTGTAGGGCTTGGGAGGGCCCGAGTTAGGCTTAGACTTAATAATCCATTAGCCGAACCCCTAGGTGGTGCACTGCGGGAGGTTTAGGTCGCGACATCTACCAAATTTGTATTTTGAAAGTATTAAAGATCATCTATCAAAATTTCACAAACTCTCCTTCTTGCCTTTGAAAGATTTTTTTGATTACTTTGATTAAGTTCTTTGGACAGAAGATTATTCATATTCAAATGGGCAATCTTACTTTCTAGTAATGTTACTTATGAGGATTCTTCTTAATGAAATTGTTTAATCTCGGAGTCTTAAGATCGTCTTGTTCATTTCTCACCCTACACGATCTCCTTACAAGCAAGAGGAAAGACAATTGAAATTCTAGCTCGTCAATGTGTTCATCCACTTCCAATGGAATGAAAGGTGCAATACTGATGATGATGGTATCTACTGTGACGATAGCATTTAGACAGGGGAAGCAACATTGGTCTTATAAAAAATTCACATCAATTGTTGACATGTTGTCTCTCAATGCTTGTCTTTAAATAGAATTTCATGATATAATACTTTTATCTGCCGTCTCTTCTGTATTATCATGAATGCTAATTGTCTCAATTATTCCTTGATGACTATCGTGACTGGAGATATTGACATCTGCTTGTGTGAATTGTGGAAATCATCTTAGGAGATCCTTATATTTCCTTTGCAACATCATGCTTTTCATTATGATGATAAGGGAGAGAGAGACTGATTGTATGTATCTATGTTTCTTGATATATATTTGTTTATGCATATGATGTTCGATCCACTGAACACGAGCTTCATTGCACATTTTTTTTTTCTATTCGCCCTAGTATGTCGAATAGAGGAAGATATTAGATTGTGAGAAAATGAGATGGATTGCATATACATTATTAGCGCCTTTTATTATGACAAAAAGGGGGAGATATTAGATGAATATGCGCTTGTGTTTATAGGAGTATTAAGTCATATGATGGATGTTTATTCCTATTTGAAATTTACGCGATTTAGTAATTGTATGCTTACTATGCCCTGATATGAATTCTTATTTTTGGCAAGATAAGCAAATATGTTTTACTTTTTACGCACTCAGATTCAATATCTTTTATTGTGTGTTAAGACATCTACATATTCAGAAGATTATTTTGTCATCATAAAAAATGGGGAGATTGTTGGAAAAATTCCCTACGTGGTTTTGACGACGACAAAAACAATAAAATGCTACTAATGTGTGTATTGGTTGTGTATTACTAGGTGATATATACACAAGCCGCAATGCAAATTGTGTCGTAATCAGTATCAGGTGTGATGCTGAGTGCTCAGTCACAATTGAGAATGCTTTGCCGATATCGAAGGATCACTGCCGATATCAAGCGTGAACAAGGGAGATACCTACAAGCTTGAAGAATCTCTACAAAGGTGAACAAGCTGAAAGGACCTTGATCGAGGGAGAATAAGTCTAGAAGAACGAGGATGTTCGTGATAGCTTGGAAGGACCAAGATAAGGTGAACAATTGGATGGACCAGTAATGGTGAACAAGTCTAGAACTGTGATGTTCGTTGAAACTTGGAAGGACCGCGCTTGTGAAGGTGAACAACTTGGTAGAATCATGATTCCAATATGCTTGGAAGAACTAGAAGATAGAAGAGCAAATCGCCATCGGGATAGCAGATTGCTAGTTAGAGCAGTTTTCTTCAAATGAGGTGGAAGACACTGACAATGCCGATGATCCAGTGAGTTGAATGAAGACGAGGAATTAGCAATGATACTAATGTCCTTGGAAGTTTTTGTACGCTAAAGAAATCAAAAGAATCATTGGATGATTGATTGGATATCATTCCACAGGATTTCATCAGTGTGCAACATTAACAGACTACTGATAATCTGCAATCTTGATTATCGGTAAGGGACAATGTAGATATCGAGTCCTAGAGGGTGATGGTCATTTGCTCGGCTGATGGGAATGTTGATCAAGATGAAATTATCCGTTACAAAAGCTTAGAATTTGCATCAAGAACACTATCAGAGCAGTTATGGCAATTCTGATAGGAGACAGACACTGAGAGGAGCAGTCCGACTGGTTTGAGAAACTGCCACTATTAGAGAGAGCTAATCTGATGCTAGCAACGGTAGAACCAATGGCTACTTCATGGAGTTGAGTGGGAAACGGTCATCTAAGGATTGGAAGACTATATATACTCAATACAAGAGAAGTAGTGAGGTTGGGAGAGTGAAATGAACAAACCAAGTCTATAACTTTGAGTCTTCTTCTTTGTTCTGTTGTTAGTAGCTGTGATGCTGATTATATCTTTGTGAGCTGCGACTGAGTTGGAAAACCACCGAGATTGCAGGAAAAATCACCCAAGGCTAGATGTTGATTATTAACGTCCTTGGGAAATCACCAACCTGATGTTAAACGCTGCAGAAGTAGGCTGGTACTTCACGGACGCAACGGCAAGGCTAGAAACGCGCTAGTGATGCTCGGGTTGGTGCTTGCCGAGGGTTGCTGGTGGTGATGGATAAGCATTAGCCGTCAAGCGATGCGGAGGCACAACAAATTACGTGTTAAGACATCTGCATTTTTAGAAGATTATTTTGTCATCATAAAAAATGGGGAGATTGTTGGGAAAATTCCCTACGTGGTTTTGACGACGACAAAAACAATCGGATGCTATTAATGTGTGTACTGGTTGAGTATTATCGGGTGATATATACACAAGCTATAATCCAAATTGTGTTGTAATCAATATCAGGTGTGATACTGAGTACTCAGTCACAATTAGGAATGTTATGCCGATATGGAAGGATGAGTGCTCAGTCACAATTAGGAACGTTATGCCGATATGGAAGGATCACTGTTGATATCAAACGTGAACAAGGTATTGGTCATAAAGATATTTACAAGCTAGAAGGATCTCCACAAAGGTGAACAAACTGGAAGGACCTTGATCGAGGGAGAACAAGCCAAGAAAAACGGGGATATTTGTGATGACTTGGAAGGACCAAGATAAGGTGAACAGGGATGGACCTTAGTGATGGTCAACAAGTCTAGAACTGTGATGTTCATTGAAGCTTGGAAGGATTGCGCTTGTGAAGTGAACAACTTGGTAGAATCATGATTGCTAATATGCTTGGAAAGATTATAAGATAGAAGAGCGGATCGCCATCGGGACTAACCAAAGGCCTAAGCATTTCTATAAACTGGCCCATTTGTACAGTCTAGTTACAACATACACTTTCTCTGCGTAGTTTCTTAACCTTGTTTATTTCCAAGAGCAAAAGGAGAGAATATGGGGCAATTGAAGCGTCAACTGGAGTTGAAATCATCAGCTGAGAAGGTATATGATATCTACCGGAACAAATGCTTCGTCTTCGAAAAAATCATGCCTCTAGTGTTTCCGAAAGTGGAATTGGTCAGCGGCCAATGGAACTGTGTGGGCTCGCAAAGGCTGTGGACTTTTTTTGATGGTAGGTTAAAAAATTTGTCACTTAATCTAGCCACTTTAATTTTCATATCCCATATCATATCTATCTCTTCTTTCTTTCTCAATTAATTAGTTGTCTCGATGTATTGTTAATAAAAAAAATGATAATTTTCTCCTCATTCTTCTATTTTGTGATCGACAATTCGATCCAAAAACGATGCGATTGTCGTTGTTAATTCATCATCATGAGCACAGGAACTAAATCTAACACATAACGTCAGTGTCGAGCTTGAATCTTTCAGCTCGTGGAAGATCTTGACATTTCATTACTATTCCATGAGCTTTTGTTTGGGGACCTTGGGACAAAGCTTCGATTAATGATCACTATATGCAGAGTCTTTACTGGTTTCTAAGTTGAGGTGGCGAGAGGACACGCATGTATTAAGCTTGTGGTAAATACTTCATGCATGAACATAATGTGTAGTCCGACTGAACTGGAGTCATATGTTAATTTAAGGATTAGTAAGTATTGATGATTTTTCACCACCTTTAAATGGGACTTGGCACATGCCATTTCTAAAGTACTTTTTCTTACTTGATCTATTCAAGTAAACCTAGCAAAGATACATGTGTGTTGCATGTGAGGAATGTCCTGAATTCAAAGGTTTGAAATGTGTACTTCATTTTTAGAAGAAAAGGAAACTTCTTTGTATCAAATTTTATTATCTGTGTATGGACGATGGAAAAAGAGTCTTAGATCTTTCTCTTTCATTATCTTTTCTTTTTCTTTTCTAGCTTTGTGCTTAAAGATTGAAAGGAACCAATGAATTAAAGTCCTGAATTGAGTTTCCAGTTGAAAAGAGTAAAATTGGAAATTTTTTAACAAACCTGAGATAGGAAAGTTGTAAGTCATGGATCACTAGATTGCCCAAAGACGGTGTTAGGAAATATTAACACATTCTTAATAAAGTTGAAGGCTAATTTGGTGAATTAACTTAAAAGGGTGTGTTTTAGCCACACAAAAAAAAGATGTGAAAATAGCACCACCAATACCTACCACAAATTTATATAGTGTTTTAGAATATCAATAATTAAACTTAAGCACCTTTCGAACAAAACTATTATAAATGGTTTAAGATGAACCTTTCGACCAGCTCCAAGACTGAAAGCGGCAATATAATTCACGAGCAATGAAACTCTCTAGTTTTATTATTCGAAACCCTAAACAAAATATTGCTCACTGAGATTTTTTTTCAAAAAAAAAAAAAATACCGCAGTTAACTGCGGAATCTGGAAGGACACTGTGGAAGCCATTGACAATGAGAAGAAGTCCATCACATGGACTTTGTTGGACGGTCCAGTGCCGAAGGCACGCTACGAGAGCCTGAAGGTGGAGTACCAGTTCACTGCCAAGGGCCAAGGCTGCACGGCGACAGCGGTTCTGACTTTCGAGAAGAAAAGCAATGATTTTCCCGATCCCGTTAAGTATATGGACTTCATCCATGCGATGTTCCTGGTAGTCGATGCCCACCATCTCGCGCAGTAAAAAATATGCGCTTAAAATGGTAAATCGATAGATTTGAGGGAAAATATACTACGTGTGGTTAAGTAGTCAATAACATGCTTTGGGAGCATGGAAAAGGACGATGTTTATTTGCCTACTAAGTGTGTAATCATCCACCAATGCAGTGTTGTACTCCTAATTAGACAATATAATATAAGTAGTGCTTTGTGTGTCTAAGTTCAGCCAGTTGTGTTTGCTGAAAAAATTCTTGCACGTGGTATAATAATTCCATATATTTCGTGGCCTGAAATTTGCTTTCTAGTGCATGAAAGAACGGACGATAGATAGACCGAAACGTTCAAAACGAGTGATGAAAATTTACCACACAATATAAAGTAAAAGAGATGCATACAATATAAATATAGTGGAGGTAGGTTTATAGTAGTCGAGTTACGAAATCTTGCGTGAAAATTAGGTGCATAACACAAGCTCAACTCCTCAAATCACCAAGATCAAATAAGACGTTCACGTCATTTAGACCGTCCACCTAGATTTCAACTCGCGTTTTACAAGATCCTTGAGATTAGTGAGGCTTTTCATGAAATTTGAACTCTAGCCCTACACAACTCTGGCCTATTATCGTTAGTTTGGGCTAAAGCTTGGGCACAAATATTTTTAGCCAGCCAGGGCGAAATCAACACTAGTGAGCTTTGGGGGCCTCCTTTACGGGGCAAGCATGATGCTTTCAATGCACATTTCTAGGGTTTTTCTTTCTTATTTTTTTGTGATAGGCAAGTATGGACAACATCTTTCTAGACCCAAAGTCAGGCTCGGACCTATGATCCTGGATTTTATGCAAGGAGCCTGGCCCGAACCTGTCTTGCTCAGCTCATTGATCACCTCTAGCCAGTCACAATACATCAAGAGAAGTGGCGGATTTTATAGGTATTGTATGACCGAAACGATTAATTCTTGCAGATGCTGATTTGGGCGGATTCAACAGTTTCCAGTTTTCTCTTTGATTCCTCCCAGAATTTGACCCATTAAAACGGATGGTGGTGTGACTGATTAACGAGGATCTGTGAAATGCAGGTACAGCAACCCCGGCCAATGTTGGGTAGCCAAGGAACAAAGCCGTGAATTGACATGTTCAAGAAAGATTAAGTTAGGGCTTTCCCCAGATGTAGATCATGGCATTGATTCTCACCCTTCATGTAATTGCGCCCTCTTCAGCATAATCACTAGGTAAATCCATTGCGATCATTGTGACTGGTGTTACTTTTAAGATTTGCTTTCTTTTAAGTCGTTAAGTGAAACCGGAGGTGTCGGACATATAAAAGTTAACATAGGTGCGACAAGCTGGTAAATGCTCTCCGCCTGAGAAAATCACATCATAATACATGGCACACCATATGGTAAACATTTGTCACCTAAGAAATCCATCTTAAAATACACCGCGACTCGCCACTGAATGGAATCCACCAATGAAACTCCAATCCAAGACTTCAATTCCAGAAAATCATTGAAACTATCATTTTTTTCTCGAGAAAATGTTAATAGGGGTTTATATAGACAACTTGGAACAGCCCTCTAGGTTAGGCAAATTCCAAGACACTAACATTTCAATTTGCAAGATAAAAGACCAATAACCCCTGGACAAAACATAAATAAGAACATTGACTCTGGACTCAAATGATCTAGAAACTAAATGCAATGCACGTGACTCAACAAATAAAATATTAAGATAAATCATTCTCGGATTCCCTGAGTAGCATTAACTATTTTGGCAAATTTTTTGGGGAATCTCTAAATTTGCTTGAAACTTGATTCATTGAAAACTAGATACATAGGGCTTTCCAACTACTATAATATTTGACCAAATTGAAATACGAAAAGTCACTCAAACATCACATGAAAGTAATCCAGACAGTTTAGCCAGTAGAGATACACTTAACCGAGCTCCAAATAATTTTGCATTGACTATTAGATAAGCCTTAATCTTCTCGAGATGATCCTTCGTCATCAAACTTCAATTACCGAAATCTTAAGCCTATGAATTGTCGGGAAAATTTCTTCTGGTGTTTTAGATCCATATGTAAAGAGTATCTCCATGTATCAATGTACTCGGGCGGATTCATATGGGAACTGGAGGGGTCTCCGGCTTCCAATTTTCTCAAATTATGTTTTTTTTTTTTTGGTAAAGGTAAGTGTATATATAACTTTCTCAAACACCAAATACAAGCTAAAGCTCAAACCAAGTCCTGACCCTATTAGGACATAACCTGTCCATATAGGGTCAAGAGAGGTCCAGCAAGACTATACAAGAGAGAAGGGACACCCCAGGGCCCGAATGAACAAGAGGGGGAAGAAGGCCACCCAACAAGGCTAACCAAAAGACCTACAAACAACAAAGCAGGTACAAGCCAAAGGAACACGGAAAGCTCAACCACAAAAACATAAAGGAAACAAGGGAAAGCTATACAAAGGAATGCCAACCCAGCCCATTTAAGAAAAAATGGATGGTGAGAGCCCCCAACTCCTTTGTAATCTCCTATTCAATGGTGTGTCTGCAACTCTTCCAAGGGTTGAGGCTTTATCCTTCACCACTTTGATCATATGATTGCGTATACCAGGGATGAAAGTACTCTTGTTTCGGAAAATAGAGTTGTTTCTTTCAGTCCATATTATATGACAAAGGGCTCCAAATGAGAACCTGGAGAGACGATGAGCAAATGATGATCCTCCACAAACCTTCATTGCCCATGTTATATGCTCATGCCATGGCCGGTTACGCCATGGAAGATAGCATTTAGTTGCCCAAAAAAACGCCAAGCTTCTTGTAATGGAGCACTGAAAGAAGAGGTGATTGATTGAGTCCGGAGTAGTACCACAAAACGCACATAGAGCGGAATCAATCTTGCTATTATGAATAAGCGCAGTCTGTGTAGGCAATCTACCAAGGGAAACTATCCATAGAAGAAAGGAGTGGCGTGGAGCAAAATGATGATCCCATATGAAGGAATGCCACTGAGCGGGGAGTCCCTTTCTTCTTATATGGTTCCAAGCTATCGCCACCGAGAAGGTAGAGGATGGTTGAGGAGCCCAGATCAGCTCATCTTCAATGTCATCCTCAAAAATAGGTGGAGGTTCCGTCCAATTCAATATAGTATCCAAAGTATGTGACTGCTGCCATACTGAGTCATAAAAGGCCCGAACAGACGTGTCCCGGGGAATACGAGACTGATAAATGTCCGCATCACTGAACAGAAGGTATAGGGGGCCTTTGTCGTGCCACCAATCAAACCACCATGAGACCGACCGACCATGACCAATTTTCCATCGAAAAATAGTCCGAGCAGAGTCTCGTAGGTCAAGGATTTTCTTCCACGTCCAGGAACAAAAAGTGGGCTTAGAAACAATCCAGAAGTTAGAGCTTTTTATGAAGTTCGAGTGTATCCACTTGCACCACATGGACTCCTTATCGGTGAAAAGAAGCCATATGTGTTTGAGCATCATAGCTCTATTATATTCAGTAAATTTCTCAAAAACATTCACATGTTCATCCCTAAATCTTGGCCCCATCAAATTATCTAATCTCTTCACATTTCAAAAATTAAGGAAGTATTTACTAGGAATTTTTAACAAAAAGTCCTTTCAAATTTAAGAGTTATATTTTACAAAAATGATGCATTTAATTGTGAAATACGAGGAATGATGAGTAATAATTTCCAGACTTGAGAAATAATGCTTTAGCATAGTTGGAGCGATTGAACTTTGCTATTAGGTCTATCTCCATTTGTAACATTAACTACCAATTGACAACTTTCACACTATTGACATAATATGAGAGATTCTTTACGACAGAATTCCAATGTCTCAATAATCCTAGAAAGTCAAAAACTAGTGACGTAGGGTGAAATGTCAAGAGCTATTGTCCTAATTTACTATACTTATCTGTTCATGGATTATGTTGGTGAAATATGCAAATTTGGCTCTTGCGAACATTACACAGCTTTAAAAGAAGACATTTAGAATGGAGTAATTTATAGGGCACATGAATGTGCGCGCCTCAAGCAAGTATCGCTTAAACTTAAACTCTAGGTTCCGTTCCGACTAGGGGTGTGCAACCGGACCGGGTTTACCCGAGAACCGGACCGGCCCACCTGGAAAACAGGTCCGGGAATCGGTTCTTGTTTGAACCGGTCCGGGAACCGGTTCTATATTTTTGGAACCGGTTGGAACCGGCCCGGTTTCCGGGTCTAGGTGAAAACCCACCCGGACCGGTTTTTAGAACCGGCTTGAAGTTACAGTAAAAACCCTAAATCAGACTCTCAATTCTCAGCCTCACTTCTCAGTCTCGAGTCTTGACTCTCTTCTTGCCCTTCTCAGTAAAAACCCACCCGCAAGAGCTCGTCGCCGGAGCTGCTCGCCGCTCGTCGCCGCGGCTTGGCTCGTCGCCACGGCTGCTCGCCACTCGTCGCCCACGGGGTGCTCGCCGCTTGTCGCCCGCGGGGTGCTCGCCGCTCGTCGCCGCGGCTTGGCTCGTCGCCGCGGCTGCTCGCCGCTCGTTGCCATGGGGTGCTCGCCGCTCGTCGCGGGGGGTGCTCGCAGCTCGTCGCCGCGGGGGGCTCGCCGCTCGTCGCCGCAGTTTATAGTCTTATGCTTGCAAACGGGTTTATAGTCTTATGCTTGCAATTTCGCAATGCTGTTGCTCAATACACCCGGCGAGAGCTGAGTTCAAGAAAAGTTCTAATTTTTTGCGCAAAGCAAGTCCCTTTTTCATGTTAATGAAAAGTAGGAAGGATCTGTGATGTGGTCGAGTTCAAACCTCAGGGACCCGCATTCTCCTTTCCTTATGATGAAGACTTGAAATCTTTTACCTTCAAACTGAAAGATGACATCTTTTAGCGTTTGCCCATGGCATAAAGTCGACGTTTGTAGATAGGCAACACCTGCGTTTTACATTTTCCTCACAGTAGACATGTATCCTTTAGGGGAGTAGCTGTTGGAGGATGCAGTCTGAAAGTTAAAGTCAACTTTTCAGATTTCCTGCTTATTGTTTGGGCCATTGTTCCTTCATCCTGATTATCTATTTTGTTTTACTCTTGCTATGATGTGAGAAAAGTTAAGATAGATAAGAAAAGATTATTGAAGCTGGAGTTTTGATTATGGGTATTTGCTTAGCTTGATTGCCTGTTTAGTGCGATATCAAACATAACTTCTGCAAACAGTACAAGTTGTGTTGTGAGCAAATTACCAGGTCAAGTTTCAAATGGTTGACTTAATTTTTGAAGATCTTTGGAATAACTGATTCTTCTCATGCAATCGTCTTAGTGGTCAGCTAAATGAGATGTAATTAGGTCGCTCCGTGCCACTTGGTTTTGGACATCCGCATGATTTTGGAAATAAAATAGAGTTAATCATTTTTCTTGTGCCCATTTACTATTTTTCATTTGCTGCTATGATTAAACAAGGGTAATAATGAAATCATTCAAACTTGATACTGGTCATCATTAATAAATTCAGACTTTAAGCTTGGATGGAATTGCAATATGAAGCAGATTATGTTATGGTTAATGTGGATGTCCATATAGCTGTAGAGTTCTTCGCACATGTCAATCTCAGCGAGCGGATCTTCTCTTTTTTTACTTTGTCATGATGCTGATGAAAGTGAGGAGCCCACGCAGTCCACTAGTGCAATTGCTCATGGTGAGGACTTTGCTGTTCTAATGACATCATTATTATATCTTTTGATAGTTTTTCGAAATTTTGAGCTTGGTTATACCATGCCCATGGTGGTTGATTGGTGTATATAATTTTTCTGAGTAGTTATTTTTGTTGAGAAAGTGGAATAATTATTGGCACTGATGCTTATATTGCATCACTGAAGTGGCTTACTGCTAAATTTTGTGCGCTTGTGAGCCTTAGAGCGTCTTATGCTTTTACCTAATCTTTAACACTGTCGATTTGATGCTGGAGGACAAATGTGATCTACTTTGGGACCTCTTTGTGGATTGTTTATTTTGCTTCGAATTTCTATAACCAGGAAAAGAAAAAAAAATAGGTTACTGGGTAGACCCTGAAACCGGACCGGAAAAACAGGGTAGGTTCCAAAACAGGATCTAGGGAAAACAGGGTAGGTTCGAAAATGAGAACCGGTTATAACAGGGTAGGTTCCAGGTTCCAGGTCTGGACCCTACCTACCCTGGAACCGATCACCCCTAGTTCCGACCGGCCAGTTTTCATACGGTTCATACATTGCGGTTGATTTTCTCTCCACCGCAAGATCTACAAACTAAGGTTGCCCATTTTGAATTGGACAGTTTTCCTTTTGGCTAAAATTAAGATAAGATCGTTGTAATATTAACGTGGAAAATATTGGGTCTTGCAAAAAAATCAACGAAAAATCACAAGAGTAATAAACGATGAACAATATCAACATTTGAGATTTACGTGGTTCAAGCCGAGAGTCGGAACCTATTCCGCGGGAAGAGCCAGCGACAAATAATTCACTAATAATCGGAAAATCAGAGTTACAATCGCTCAAACGCTTGAATGTTTCCCACGTAAATTAAGCCCAAACACATTATTTATAAATAAATAATTCAATTTGAATGTAAAGCTCACGGCACATCAGTACTCCTATCGTGTGGCTTGAAAAAAAGTAACAAAACTTCCAATAATACTCTGGCCAGCAACAACAAGCGTCTCAATCAATATAATGTGCGGCCAACATTCTTTTTTTTATTTTAAACGTCCACTGTACAGTTTTATTAAGAAGTCTAAGTCTTGATCAAACATTGGATAATTACGGAAAAACCACCGCCCCGAAAGAAATCCACCTACTTATTAAAAAAAAAGGAATAAGTATATTGAAATTCCAAAAACTTGGCACGAAAATGCAATCAAGTGCTAAAACTTATCGCGAAAGTGCAATTAAGTTTTAAAACTTTCAAAAAGTGCAATCAA